TTGAGTTTTTAAGTTTGGCATGGTCCTTTTGGTCTATTTTTGCTTCTATTGCCTTGGTTATTTACAAGAATTCATGGCAAAAATGCCATGTTATGAAGCTTTTCTTTTTTTATTTTCTTCCGAAATTTTTGTAATTTTAGATCTTATGCCCAAGACATATGTAATTAATTTTGTATGACATATAAAGTAGGGTCTTCCTTTATTATTTCTTGTGTGAATGTTCAGTTTTCCAAGCACTGTTTGTCCTGTTCTCACTGTGTGGTCTTAGTACTCTTGTTGGTGATCATTTTTCATCTATGTGGAAGTTTGCATTTGGATTCTCTGTGTTCTGTTCCGCTTCTCTTTGTCTTTGTGAAAGCCCCATGTTTTTTATTACAATGATCTCTCATTTATGGTGGAGGTTACATTCCAGCCACCCCTACGATAAGTGAAAATCAGCCAAGTAGCAGTGTTGTATTTATTTTAGTATTTACATATATTTTAAGACTCTATAAACCCTTCGCACACTCTCATAGATATTTCCCACACTTTGAAAAGCACTTCTAATGCTCTTAACCATTTTCTGAACTCATAAACCTACAGAATTTTAACAACATGCATATACTGTGTGATACTGCAAAAATCCCACAGTATAGTGAAAAATATGCAATAAATAATTTAGATTAATATTTTTTAAAAAACTGAGAAACACTGAGTCCATGAAAGTTGAACCACGAAATAGCAAGGGACTACTGTACTGTTGTTTTGTTTAGTAAGTGTTGAGGTCTCCAACTTCGTTCCTTTTCAAGATTGTTATGGCTATTTGGCATCCCTTAAGGTTTCCTTACCAATTTTAGAATGTTTGTTTTCGTTTTTGCCAAAAATGTCATTGGGATTTTGACAGGCACTGCCCTGAATTAGTATATTGCTTTAGGTGATATGCACATCCTAACCATATTACCTCTTCCATTCATGAACACAGGATGCCTTCACTTACCTGTATTGTCCTTAGTTTCTTCTAGCCATGTCTGGTGGTTTCCCATATATGGATCTTTCCCCTCATTGTTTAACAGCTGTCCCTATTCTTTTCTGTGTTATAAATGAGATTTTTTTTTCTTAATTTTCTTCTTAGATCATTCATTATTGGTTTTTAAAGTGAAACATTGTTGTGTGTTGATTTAATCGTAGGTATTTTTGACAATCTTAAAGGCATGGAGCAATATGTTCTGATTTACCCTCTCAGTAATGCTTATTCATTCCAGATTGAAGTTTGTTGTTTATATTTGGGAGTGAGTTGTACTACTTAAGTCTTTCAAAGAATATTAGCTTAATCATTAACTTTTCATAATCTTAGTAAAATATTCATTCATGAACAACAACAAATAAGAAAGGAAAGCACAGCATCTTCTGAGGATCTAACCAGTAGCTCATCCTGTGGGTTTTTGTTCATCTTGGGCCCAGATCCTTCTTTACATCACCAATTTCAAAGGGCGGTTAAGCATTCAGTTTCTTGATGTCAGACATTCTCTTTTCTCCTCCTGTACATTTTCCTCCACAGAACAGCCCTGTTTTGTCTTAAGCCATGCCTAGCCAACATATCAGTCACTATAATGCGTACATATTAATTCTCAAAGTGACCGTGAATCATATTTTTGCTTTTGCCTTTTCATTTTTCCATAAAGTGACAAAATCTCATGCATGTGGAATGTGCCTTACCCAGTTTTCCTGTGCTATTGACCATGCTTGGGGTGAGTGCTTTTCCAGTACTGATGCTAGTATGTTCTTTCTTTCTTCTAAACTCTGAATGCCTCCTTGGTGTCTGTTGTTTGTTGAACCTTCTGCACAAATATGCACTCATAAAATATAATATTCATAAACTACAACATTTTTTCTGGCACTTTTGGAAGAACAAGATGTATTTAATACACATTTTTTTAAATTTAGAATTTGATAGATAAAATTATCATTGTCAGCCTCTACCTTGACAAGGAACTTTACCATTTAGTTTAAAAAATACTTCCTACTTCTTTCATATTCCTCATCTGTCAGCTTTTTTTCTTCTCTTTTGAGGTGCTGGAGATACAACCCAGGCCTTACTAGTGTTAGGCAGCCAGTTATGCCACTCAGGCACATTCCAGGCTCATTGTTAGCTTTTAATTAGTAGCAGTTGACTAGCTTCTTTTAGGGTATTTTATATCAACATTTATTCAAAATTTAAATGCATTAAATAACTCTTAGAACTCTTATATTCTTAAAAAGCATTATTAAAAATTGTACTTAACATTGTCTTGCATTAGATTTTAAGTTTATCATGTTCATCATGTGCTTCTGTACTTGCTCTATAGATAGGTTAGGATTTTAGAGGAGTTTGCAAAACCCTGAAAATGGTCTCCATTTTAATGTTTAAAATCATTATTTTAGCAGAATGTAGTGGCACACACCTATAATGTGAGTTCTCAGAAGGCTGAGATAGAAGGTTCACCATGAGTTCTGGGCTATAGAGAGTTCAAGGCCAGCCTGAACCCTGTTTCAAAAAAAGAAATAAAATTGTTATCCTTGCTTAGAGTGTCATGTATTCACAAATTTACATTGGAAGTCAGTGATTATGTTTGACAGCTAATACATCATTTTTATGCATTTGGTCAGTAACATTTAGGCAGTGTAGTAGAAAACTGCTCTACTGTATTTTCTGTATGTATTAGTAAGCAGAAGAGCTCTTATCCTTACAGAATTCACATTCTTAAGTGGAGGTAGTTTGGAAGAAGTGCAAAAGAAAGGTAGATCAAGTCCTTTTGTTAAAGATACTAGAATTGACGAGGGTAAACAAAACTGTACATAAGATAAATATCTAATTTAAGAATAATGTTAGCCAGACATGGTGGTGCTTGCCAGTAATCCTAGCACTTAGGAGGCTAAGGTAGGAGGATCACAATTTGAGACTATATGGTGAGTTCAAGGCCATTCTGGACTCAGTATAGCAAGACCTGTCCCTATCTTAATCATGCGTGTAGACACACATGTTAATATAATCCCTATATGTCTATGCATAATACCTAGGGGTCATGAAAAGAATTGAGTTAAGCAGTTATTTTATAGTTGGTTGGTTTGAAAAGATTGGGAGGAGGAATGATTTACTTAATATAGGGCAAAGAGGGAAGGCAGTTCATTCATTGAGATAATCCACCATCCAGAGTCTGTAAGTCTTACCGTCTTGAAGCAGTGTTAGTACTGATTTGGAGGAGACCTAAGGTAGTGTTCGTATCATGGCATGGAGGTTCTGATTTTTAGAGTGTTGTTCTTTGTTTATTCATGATGATTGACATTTTGAGAATTGGATAATCTCTACCCTGTGTGGAATTTTGATTTAAAATACATCTTTAGCCTTCCATGAGTATATTTCTTTTCATATCAAAGTTTTTATTTTTATTTTATTTTTTCCAATAACTTATTTTTTTCACAGCCCTATACAGAGCTGATACGTGTGTGTACATATAAAATCTATAGTGTTTTCCTTAGAACAGGCTGCATACGTTGTTTTGTAAATAGCTGTGTACACTGGGGTCATCCGTGTTTATGTATGTGATTTTGTTCTGCAGAATCAGGTAAGTCCTGTCCTCTTTAAATTTTCTAAGTCCTAATTACAATAATAAATGTAACTTTTTGACAGCTGCTCTGATTCATTTAAATCTTCCATTAAAATTGTATTTGGGGGCCGGCCAGATAGCTCAGCAAATTAAAGTGCCTGCTTAGGCAGATGCAGGGGCCGGGAGTTCAGTCCCCAGCTAGCCATGCTGGCCCCACCACCAGGGTGTACTGAGATGGCAAATGAGATTGGGCATGGTGGCGCATGCCTGTAATCCCAGCACTTGGGAGGTTGAGAAACAGGAAGATCACTACAAGTCCAGTCTGTATAGTGAGACCCTGTAGACCCTGCATTAAATACATAAAAAATAATAATAATAAAAATAGAAAATTATATTTGGGCTCTTTCGAAATGGCATGACTCTACTTTTGATACTTCAGGTATTCTATAATGTTCATTAGCTTTTAATTATCTCTGGGGTATTTACTGGAAGAAACAGTGTTTAAATACTGTTAGGAAGTGACCACAAGAAGGATGTTAGCTCTGTTTTCTCATTTCAGGTGTACATTTTCTCCTGTGATTTCACTTCTTTTAACCTTATACTTTATTATCCTCTTATAATTTTTAATACTTAACCTCTCTGTGATGTCACAGAAATGTTGACAGTGTTTTTATAGGCAGGTGATTAGGAGATAGGAAGGGATATTAAGGGAATAGTAGGTGGTTGCAAAGTAACGTCCTGAGCTCCTAAGACAGCTTTAGTGAGAATAACTTTATTCTTGAGTGTGTTTTCATGTTATGATTCAAAGGAGAAAGTACAGTCCTAGCAGTTATACCTTTGCTGCAGATGCCATTTCCTCCATTCCTATCTTTTGTTCCTCTTTATTGCTTTTGAATTCTAGGTCCTGCCTTTGTAGTTTGTATGCTAGCCAGTTTTGAAAACTATAAATTCAGATATATAGTAGGCATTACTTGAGTAGTAAAATGAATGGGTTATACTCACTGGATATACCTGTAACCTGAGTCACAAGCTTTAACTTAGTGAAATATCATCAAGAAATTTAGTCTTCATTGCAAAGGATATTATCTGGAGATAGTTTTGATGTTTTAAATTGCAGATAGTTTTCTGATTATCTAGTGAAGAATCTGTAAGGACATTTGGCCCAGTTTATAATTATTTTTTTCTTTAAGTTGTATCTTTATATGCAGTTAAGCTCTTACATGTAAATTATGAAAAGATGTTAAGTACAAAATATTAAGATAGTTAACATCTATCAAATATTTATCTGGTCATGATTATCTTGCATTAACAGCTTTCTGACATACATCTTTTAATTATGGTTTTTAAAATCACTTGTTAGTTCATTGAAACTGTATTGAAGATTCTGTGACAATAGAAAACTTCATTTTAATGATCGAGTTTTTCCCCCCCCCCTAGAATCAGCTTAGCCAGTGTAATAATGCCCTGGAGAACTCTGAAGAGCTTCTAGAGTTTGCAACAAGGTCATTAGATATAAAGGAACCTGAAGAATTTTCAAAGGTATAAAAACCAAAAATCCTACCCTAATATACTTGTAACTCTTGTAAAGGAGTAATAAGATGTTATCCCTTTAGTTTTGGATTTGTGTAATCATTGCAGGTACTGAACAGTCTTGGTGTTTCTTAATGCTGAAATGCTAGCTGGATTCATTTATTTCAAAGCAGACATTTATAAGTATGTATCTTTGGGGTATGAGTAAATTATTTAGTTTAATTTTACTTTACTATGTAATTCAGATGAGCCAAATTATTTTGTTTTTAGGTATAGCCCTGTTGGTAATTTGCATTACTTATGTATTTGAACTGAGTCATAACTTTGTTATAAAATTTCTGTGATTAGGGAAAGATTGTTTTGTTACTAGTACTGTTTCAAAAGCATTTATATTTCTTTCTATGAGCTGATTAGGAAAGTATCATCACTTGATGCATGTAAGTATTATTGCCCTGTGCAATTTATTATTGGGGATAAATGCCCACAATTTAGCTTCGTAATTGAATTTTTTATTAAAGTATAAAAGTATAGGTCCTTGTGTAAGGGGTATAGTTGGTAAGAAAATTAGAGTAAGAAGTTTGCTAATGTTTTCACTTGGATTTTGGTGTGTAAGATTGCAGATTCTAAGTTCTAATTCTTTTTGTGTAGACACTACTAACATATGGATATAGACAGCATTAAGATATAATATGGAAAAAGTGAAAAATCTACCAATAGAATTAGAAAAATATTACTGTGTGGTTTTCAGGCTATGACTTAAGTTTGCTGTTCATTTCATCATCGTGGTCCACGTAGTGAGCACCATCAGTGTTCAGAAGGTGGCTTTATAGTCCACTTGTGAGCTATAAATGGTTTCATTTGAGGTAGAAAAAATTTCTTTTAAAAATAACATTTCAGCCTAAATATTTGCATTTAAAGTTGATCATTAAAAATCAGTTTATTTAACAATGTGAATTAAAACAGAAGCATATCAGTATAGTAATTCTTAAATTTGGAGATGAATTATAGTTTACCATTGCACTTAGTAGGACTTGTTATTTAAAGGAATTGTATTTTACTTTAAAGGAGGTGTCAGCCATCCAGAGAGCATTTATGTGGTAGCCTTAAATATCTAGAACATAGTCAAGAAACAAGCAAAAAGCAGAACATGAACGGTCAGGATCAGAGCTGTAGAGTTCATGACAGGAATATGAAACTATTCACAATAAAAAGTTTCTCAGAACCTGTTGACTTTTAATTTGAACACAGAACTGCTAAATTTCTATCTTCCACTTATCAGCAGACTCCCCTTACACAGTAGGATAGCTGGAGTGTGTGGGAGAGCTTCCTGCTACCCTGCACCAGCGGGACCTGTCCCAGCCCAGGCGCAGCGTGGGCCAGACCCTCTCCCACCCCCTTGGGCCGCCCCCCACTACTTGGCAGCACCAACCCCACCCCGCCCGCTGAGTAGGAATTTCTGCTGCGTTCCAGGAACCCCCAGACCCAGTCCTAGCCCAGGTCCAGTGAGTGTGTGGAGAGCTTCCTCTCCCCCCTACTTCACCTTGCCCCCTCCAGGCACAGCTCAGGCCTGGCATACAAGCCTGGGGTGTAACCCTGCAGCTGCAATCCCT